GAAGTTTTACTTCGAAACTTTTTTTAAAATTTTTTTTTAAATTAATTTTTTTATTAATACTTTTTTTATCTTTTTATTGTTAGGTTGTACTTCTTGGACAAGTTTCGAAGAATAACTGAACTTCAAACCTTTTTTTGTAGGTCCTGGAGTATTTAGTTAATTAATATAAAGATTGTAAGTTTCGTTGCGAAGCCTACTGTCTTTTTTTCATTTTCTTCATTTAACAGTTGTTACTTTTAATAATAGAAAAATTTAGCTAATATTATTGTTATAGTGTATTTAATAAAATAAATTCAATAATATTATAAATTTAATATGATGTTTATTATCTTTAAATAATGTACATCGTTAATAAACATTAAAATTAGGTGATGCACATCAAATATTGTGATATCGGTAGTACATTGCAGGGTCCGATGTTCAGCGTTTCTTTATAATGTACATCTGTGACCGATATACATTTGATGAACATTTTTCCCGTGACTTCCTGATGTACGCAATTCATCTGATAATCTGTGTCGGACTGGCGGACTATAATTGGCAAATCTGCAAATCCGCAAATGTTCTGCAATTTCGTAAAGTATCGCAATTGTACCACAATTGAATTGCGGTACTTCAGATTATTTGCAGAATTGCAGAATATTTGCGGAATTGCGAACAATTGCGAATTGCGGATTTGCGGATATTTAGACTTCAAAATCTGCAATGTTCCTCAATACCACAAATCGCAATTATTCCGCAATTATCTATTTGCGGCGTCATCCTTAGTTACAGGCTCGAGCTTTTTGAGCTGAGCCTAATAACTGGCTTGAGCTCTTCCAAGCTGGCTCGTGAGCCACCAAGCCAATTTAATCATGGCTTGGCTTAGCTCAGCTTGAAAAGCTTGAGCCAGCTCATGAGCCAGCTTGGCTCGTGTAGAGCACTACTTACAACACTTAATCAAGAAGCTTGTGATCCCTTTATCTTAAAATCCTCTGCATTATTGGACTATTCTCCAATTGAATATGAACAACATAATCTTCCTATTTCACATATTACATTTATGGATGATTCTACTTTGATTGCTTCATCTAAACGAGAAATTGAAGATCGTCTTTCCATTACTGCTGAATTTTATACTTTAAATAATACTCAAGCCAATTCAGCAAAATATATCCTTCTTTCTTCTGAACAATCTTCTCAAACTATAATGTTTGATCTTTTCCCATCTCCTTTAATCCCCATTTGTTCCCTTACTTTAAAGGCGTTAGCCTTATCCAAGTCTTTCCATTTTTTAGGTGTCTGGTTTTGCCTTTTGGCTTCCTCTCATTTTGTTCACGATCAATGTTCCTCCATGGTTAAAGACATGGCTATTTTACTTAGTCCTAAAAAACTTTTGGCACAACACGTGGCTTACCTTTATAATGTTGTTTTACTTCTGAGATTAGAATTTCGCCTACAAACCACATTATTTGTTGAATCTACCATTAATCGCATGGTTTCTCCAATGCTTTCTCTTATTCGACAGAAGGCTGGTTTTGCTTCAGTCACTCCTCTTTCTGCGCTCTTCACATTGTTATCATTCTCAATCCAACAAGCATTTGGTCGATTTTTATCATCCCATGTGGCTTCATGGCAAAGAATTTTTTCTCACCCTTTATATAAAACCTTTGCCAATTATATGATTACTTACCTCCAAGGTTTTCTGGATTGTGATGCCTGTCCTTCTACTATTGATTTAGAACCATGGTCTCATACCTTTTCCCTTCAAACACATTCTTTATTTAATTCTCTTCTCGATTAAATATCACGTGGTCTCTATTGTTCCGACCTCTGAGAAAAGATCTACATCCAGCGATTCCATTCCGGTTTATTTTACCAAAAGAATTATTTACTTCCATGAAAAATGTTTGGAAGAATTTCGGCACTTGTTTTCTTGTTCAATTGATTACTCCATGTGGCTCTCGACTCCTTTCATGGAAAGATTTACACTTTCTTAAACGAGTTTCGAACAAAGGATCTGTGCCTGCTTGGTTAACTTATTTATTTAATTTTGTTGTTATTTCTAATTCTTCTTCTTTTTTTGTTTTACCGCAATTTAGAATATCTAATTCCTATACTGTAGCTTCTATCCTTTCTATAGATATAAGTTGAAATTATTTGTTTAATCCACAATGGGCTATTTCTTTTAATCGCAATACTAACTCTTTTCTTGTTAGCCGTGTGATCATTACCTATCCTGCTCCGCAAAATGAAGCTCTTATTTCACATTGGATTGCGTCATCTGTTGATGACTTATTATCCGATTTTACTGCATGCCAAGGTTGTGCCTCTGCTATCCCGCGATCTTCTACTTCCAAGACATTGGTTAAACGATGTCCCTCTGAAAAGTGCTTTTCTTATGTGCCTTTATTCACTCTTATCCGTTACCCTACGAAACCTCGTACATATATACATGCGGACACTCGTTCAGTTTTACTTTCCGCCTCGTTAGGCTATGCCAAATCTCTATTGTTATTTCATCTTTTTGCTCCAGTTCGACCACTTCCTACGAGCAATCAAGTGTCTAGGATTTCCGATATCCAACTTCCTTCTTCAGTGTCTACACTCTATATCGATGGCTCTTTCCTTCCTCTTTCTAGTCCTTCGATATCTTCGATGGCTTATGCATGGACTGCTATCGATTCTGATGGATTTATTCTTGAATCTCATTATAACACCATTCCTTCTCTTTTTCCTTCTGCATTGCGTTCTGAAATTTTTGCTTTATTGCATGGATTGGACTCCTTCCCTCAAAATTCCAACGTTACTGTCGCCACTGACTGTGCTCAATTAATTTCCTTATGGTCTATGTATGTGGACGCTCCCTTCATTCCTAGAATGCTTAAAGAATCCAACCATCTTTTATGGTCTTCGGCATGAGCTATTATTTCACAAAAAAATCTGGAAGTTACTTTATTTAATTAAGGTTCCTGCTCATGCTAACGATTCTTTGAATAATCACGTTGATGTATTAGCAAAAGCTGCTCATACAGACTCGCGTCTTTCCTTTCAGTCGCCTGCACTTTTGGCTCCTTGCATTTTACAATTTAATTCTTTACCTGTGGATATGAATATTCAGAAATTCATTGGAGAAATTTTTAATGCCAAGAGCCTTTTGACTCTTGCTTTACTACCAAGATTCAATCTTAATTCCTCTACTTCAGACATCGATTGGGCTTGTACTAAATTTTGTTTTAATAATAAACAATTACAATTTTCCCATCGAAATGGCCGCTCTGAATTTTGTGCTTTCTGTATCAAGATTTTATTGGATATGCTTCTGACACTCACAACTCTTCAGAAACGAAAGCCTCATGATGTCTATGATTCAAGTTGGTTCTGTCCTCAGTGCAACTCTTCTCCTGAGACTTTAGACCACTTATGGACTTGTCTTTATATTTTACCTGAATTTAGTCCTTTTAATACCTTCAAAACCCTTTTACTGGACCTTCAAACTATTTATTTAGAAAATTTTCTTTCCGCGATTCCTTTGAAACCTTTACCGGACTCCTTTATTGCGGAATTTACAACTATTGATTGTTGGGAATGTAACCCTCCTTCAAATTCCTATTTACGTCTTGCACGTGAACTTATACCGATGTCCCTTACAAGTTTTCTTAGAACCTATTTTTCACTGCCAAATATTTGGTCTATCCTTGATACACCTTTATACAATTTTCATTTTGACCTTTATATCCAAATCTGGTTGTGCCGCTCTGTTTTCTTTCATCATTGGGAATCAGCTCAAGGCATTACTAATAAAATGAAATCGTCCGCTATTGGACCTTCTTCTATTTTTCATCCTTCCTCACAAATTTCTCTTGATTTTTTGACACCTTCCCTGGTGACAGTTTCCTTGGATTCCTGGGTTTCTTGGGTTTCCTCTTATGTAATCCGTGGGGGATCTTGGATTTCGCACTTGGATTTTTGGTGCCGCTTAACAGTTCAGCCTCTACTTAGAGTTTCTTTTTGGTAACGGATTGGATCTTAGGGCATGCTGGATAGTTGACTCACACTGGCTTTTGGGTAAAGTTGGGGTATGCGTTTCTGTAATAGTTTAGTTTTTCTTTACTTAATTTTATTTTGTTTAAATTTCTTTACTTGTATGAATCGTGAAGCTAGTTCATTTTATTTTTTATGTTTATTTTTATATATTTAAAATTTGTAATATTGTTCAATTTGTTTCTTGTACTTTTCGTTTAAAATTATAATAAAAGATAAAATCATAAGACTGTTTGCTCATAATCACCAAATATGGACTGTTCCAAATGTGTGACTATAAAGAGAGTTGACTGTACATGTCATGTATAGAGGCCTGTATAGTGATCAAAGTACAGTATGTATGGTCATTTTTACCATACTGTAGGGTGGATGATGTATACTGTAGGGTGATGTATACTGGACGTTGACCACTATACGTATATACATAGCATGACATGTTTTCTATATAATCTGATATCATGATGATTGATGATTATAAACCTGTCACTGATCATTACATGATCGTTATATAATATAACTTTTTTTTTTCATCTATTTATGGAAGAGAACAAGTACACCACAAAATTTTTACTTCAGTATTCACTTATTTGTGCAATATCTTCAAAATCTCAAACAGCCAGCCAGAATATTATTACCGGTAGTTTGAAAAATTAGAGGAGCTATGGATGAGAACGTTAATTGCAGATTTCATTTACCCTTTCAAGTATTTATTGATTTCTCTAGGTGTAAAAAAGTTATTTTGTTCTTTATTAAATGCAAAGTACATTATGTAGGTATCAAAAGATAGTAATTCCAAATGGCCCTACAGGGAAATTGGTGGACCTTCCAGGCTTTCGAACGACTTTAGTTATAACCGTCTGGAACGTCACATCGCTTCTCTGAACCTTTCACACTCAAAAAACTTTCGTGATATTAATAGACAAAGAGAAAATTACGTATCTTTCGAAAAGTCTGGAACAGCTAGCAAAGATCATAATGATGATAGAACCAATGGAAATGCACCACTCTCAAACTGTGAATCTAACATGAGAATGCTCTCAAGAAAGGGAAAAGATAATGAAATATATGTTCAGTGCTTTAATTTATTGCAGATTAGCACAAACACGGAAGAAAATGAAAACCAACAGTGTCTTGGCAATAAAATCAAGAAGGGAAAAGATGCAAATATTGCAGTGGGCTTCAGAAATTGTTCTAATTCTGGAAGAATTAATGAATTGCAGTCATCTTTTGGGGAATTGCGCAGAGTTGGTATCATGGGAAGTGTTACGTGGAGAAATGAACTTCCAAGAGAAGCCTGCCATCTTGTTCACGCATACCCTTGTCCTGTTAAAAATCAAGTATCTATGTGCCTGGCATCAGAAAGTGTTGAAAATGATGTCTTACAACAAGATTGCAAAAATATACTCATGGTAGTAGAGACATTTTCAAATAAACAAGTCTGCCGTCGAGTTGCATCTAGTTATGGCTATAAGCTTCCTGCTGATAGCTGCGATCCAAGAGAACTTGTTAGCTATATTAAGCAGGTTGCAGAATTTGGATTTAATCATATAATAATAATTGGAGAGCTTGATTATGGAATGGCTTTTATGGACTGTTTTGGACGCCTATTTCAATGGGATGATATGATGCTAATGCTATGGCCACTTTACAATTATTCTTCAAAGGAGGCGAACATCAAAAATAATAAGTTTGCATGGTTTGTAGAGAATGATAGAGTTGTATATGAAATGGCACCTCTAGGTACGTATAAAATCTTGTCAATATGTGCTGTATTGCTATTTTACTTAATTTTGTATCTATTTTATTTCAGATGTATGATTACAAAAAAAAAATGAATCTGAAGAATTCAGGGAATAATTATTAGTATGCATAAATTACTAGCTGTATTTATTCAGCATTAAAAAAACCAGCGAAATAACACTTAATATAATAAATAAGTAATATATAAAGCATTTTTGACTTTTAAAATTAAATTTTTACAATCTTGTGATATATTAATCTTGATCTTATGTTATTTTGATTAATTATTAGCAATATCTCCATCTTCTGAATCTTCATATTCAACATCATCATCAAATGCAGTATTTGGTTTAGTAAAATCTACAACCTTCACTTCATTAGAATTAGAATTACTTGGTTTTACATCTTTTATTATTACATTAATTGCAGGATATATAAAACTTATAGTTGTGTATTGGCTACCACCTAATAATTCAGTTGCATTAGAAAAGGTTCAAGAATTGGAATCAACTCACTTATTGCATTTCACTTATCTTCAGTAGATTGATATCTTTGAGCCATTTTCTATCTTTTTTTGTTTATTTATCTAAATCAATACAAAGTACTGTTATTATAATATTAATAAAATCCTTTATTACAATTAACTACTTTCAGGCAAGATATGACGAATTTCAACAAGTTTTCACATCAGTAATAACTCAAAAGTATTAATTATTTTCTTAAAGATTCTATTTAAATATAGATTTTTAATTAATTATAATAATTAAAAAAATTATCATTCAAATTAATTAATTAAATTATTTATTATTAATTACATTAGAAAATTTTTTAAGATGTAGAACTGCAGAGATCTGTAAAATTAGCAGATCTCCATATTTTTTATATAAATTTATGTGGAAGTCTGTGATTTTGCAGATTTTCACTTTTTATTTTTTACAAAATTATGCAATAATCTGCAATTTTGCATGTTTCTGATTTTTTATGTATGCATTTCTGCAGAAAGTCTGCAATTTTGCAGATTTTTGCTTTTTTTCATTAAAATATCAATTTGATCTGCAATTTCATCATTGATTTAATATTTAAACTTTGATTAACTTTAACTTGATTTAATACCTAAATGATTTTTTCTACAATACTCTTTAAAAAAAAAACTTTACAAGACTTTAAAAAAATTATTTTTTCTACAACACTTATTATTAAAAAAAAAAACTTTGTGAAATGATTTTTTCTACAACACCTTTTAGAAAATAATCTGTTAAAGATTCCAAAGAAAAAATATTTCTATTATTTTGTAAGCTTCGAAGCTTATCAGAGAAATTTTTTTTTTTAAAAAAAAATTTATTTGCAAAGTTCAGAATCTTTAAGGCAAATTCGTCCAATATTTGGCACATAATCTGCAATATGCAGGAGTTTTGGACTAAAAAGATGTCAGACTCTTTTATCTCCTTTCAAAAAATACATTTTACAGAATGTCAAATGTATTCTATTTCGAAGGTATTTATTACTTTGATATTAATATTATTTAATGAACATTAGAAAATGTTCGTTTTATTAGTTCAGAACATAAAAGGTACGTCCTGGACTCCATTTAAAAAAAAAAATTTAATGAAACATTAGCTAAAGTTCGTTTTATTTTTTTTTTGTAAGTCCAGAGCGCTGAAAGTACCAGTTCTGGACTCTATTTCAAAGGTAAAACTTCAAAACTAATATTTTTTATATACCAGACATTGTCCAATGTTCAGTTTTATTATTTTCTTATCCTGAATGCTAAAGAACGGATCTGGACTCTTATTTTGAAGGTAAAACCTTTACCTTTGAAATTTTTTTATATTTTTGTTTAACGAACGTCACTAATGTTCATTTTTCATGTTTTTAGGTTCTGGCATTAAAAAACAGCTCTGGACATTTATTTCGAAGATAAAGACATTTGAATAATTTTATTTATTTAACAAATTTATTTTTTATTTTTTTTTAAGTCCTAGACGCCAAAGTACAGCTCCAAACATTTATTTCAAAGGTAAAATTTACCTCCAAATTTTTTTTATTTTTATTTATACCTATGAACGTTAATTTATGTTCGTTTTTACATTTTATAAGTCCTGGATGCCAAAGAATGGCACCAGATTCTAATTTCAAAGGTAAAATTTACCTTCAAATTATTTTTTTTAATTTCATTTCAACAAACATTACTAAACGTTCATTTTTATATTTTGTAGATTCTGAACGTCAAAGAATGACTCTAGACGTTAATTTCAAAGATAAAACCTTTATCTTCAATTTTTTTTAATTATTATTTAACAAATGTTAATTAATGTTCGTTTTTATATTTTATAAGTCCTGGATGCCAAAAAATAGTTTCAGACATTAATTTTGAAGGTAAAATCTTTACCTTCAATTTTTTTTTATATTATTATCTAACGAACGTTAATTAATGTTCGGTTTTGTATTTTATAGGCTCTGGACATCAAAGAATGCTTTACTAAAAATGGCCAATTTTTTGAAATATTTTTATAGACCTAGATACAATAGCTTTCAAAACAATTGTGCAATTATTTTGTAAAATTTTTAAAATATATCAAGATATATTTGAGGTATTTTTGAGATTAAAATATTAAAATAATATCAAAGTTAAGGTA